GATTGGTTAGTTGAAATGAGGTAAAATTGATGAGGTAAGGAGAGAGACAATTTGAGGACCTGAGATGAGATGATTTGACTTAAACTGAGTTGAAATGAGATGAGCTAAGTTGCCATGAGGTGAGATAAGCTGAGATGAGCTGAGCTAAATTGAGATGAGATTAGTTGAGGTGAGTTTAATAGGATGAGAAAAGTTGAAATGAGCTGAGTTGAAATTAGATAAAGTTAAGTGTGATGAGCTGAGAAGAGATGAGTTAAACTGTTGAAATGAGGTAAGATTAGTTTAGATGAGGTAAAATTCATGAGGTAATGTGAGGTGAAGTGTGATGAGCTGAGATGAGAGGAGTTGAGTTAAACTGAGTGAAAATGGGATAGAGGAAGTGAGTTGCCATGAGATAATATAATTTAAGATGAGCTGTGTTAAAATGTGGTACGACTAGTTTAGATGAGGTGAAATTGATGAGGTAAGAGGAGGTGAAATGTGATGAGCTGAGATAAGGTGAGTAAAACTGCGTTGAAATGAAATGATATGAGTTGTCATGAGATGTGGTAAGTCGAGATGAGCTGAGCTGAAATGAGATAAGATTACTTGAAGTGTGGTGAAAAGTGAAGAGAAGATGAGGTAAATTTGAGGAGGTGAGGTAATATAAGGTGAGTTAAACTGAACTGAAAAGAGATGAGACGAGTTGCCATGAGATGAGATAAGCTGAGATGAGACGAGTGGAGAATGAGATGATATTAGTTCGTAGACTTATGTGGAGTGCACATTTTTCTAAAATAATTCTGTGTTTCCCGATCGATGTGGACGCTAATGTTCTACCGTAGTTATATGTTCACAGACTTGTGTAGAAATATTACTGTTCTACTATAGTTCTATATCTACAGATGGCTATGGGCACTAATGTACTGCAACAGTTCTGTTATAGTTCTATGTCCAAACAAAGATCCGGAGCACTGATATAGTTGAAAATTCAATACTCGTCTAGGGCACTATTGTTCTACAATAGTTCTATGCTCTATGTTCATAGATAATATGGGAGCACACATGTTTTAATACAGTTCTATGATCTCGATTGGTTTGGAGCACCACTATTGTACTATAGTTGTATGTTCACAGACTGATGTGGAGCATTAATGTTTTACTGTAATGGTGCTTTCAATAATTACAATCTAGTAATGTGCTACCATAGTTCTACGCTCACAGACTCACCTGGGACACTAATATTCTAGTATTTTCTATGTTCTCATAATGTTCTCACTATTGTTCTACTTCAGTTCTATGTTCATAGAATGGTGTAGAGACTCCTATTCTACTTCTATGTTACATACTGGTGTGGGCACTAATGTTCTACTATTGTTCTCCATGTTCTATATTCACAGACTCCTGTGGGCACTAATATTCTACTATAGTTGTATGTTTAATGTTTACAAACTTGTGTGGAGCAATAATGCTTAACTATAGTTCTACGTTCAATGTTCACAGACTGGTGTGGAGCAATAATGATATGCCTGAAAAGTATACTAAGAGCTAGACTGCAACAGAGATGTCTCTTCTGTCTTGTAGGAGTTTTGTCTCTGATCGCCATCAATGTATTGTTTATAGTCAGGAACAGGCCATACCGAGATAGTGGTGGCGTGGTCGCCAGTGTGGCACATAGAGTTTTGCCAGATAATATTAGACAGGAGATGCCTGCACCTAAGCAGTGGAACAGCAGCAACACCGAGACCACAGAAGCCGTCAGATGCGCAAGTTATCAGGTGTTTCAACCGGTTCAGCTGCCGCCCTTGAACGAGAGCACAGCCAACATCACACAATGTCCGGACATCCCTCCCGGCCTTTTGGGTGAGCACACCTTTCTCCTCTCAACTCTACGGTGTCTTTCCACATACAGGTCTCTTCAAATGTCCATGTTGTGTTTCCTTCACGTGGGTCTTTATGCTTATTTATGTGACTCTCTGTGTCTGTACGGCGCTCATTGTCTGTATTTGTGAGATTCTCCATGTCTTTTTTGTGTGTGTGTGGTTCCTTCTGTCTGTTAGTACGATTTTTACTTTCGTTTTTGTATGATTGTTTCAAACGCTAGGGGAAAAAAGGGGGGGGGGGAGGGTGGAGGGGGTTGCGTGGTCTTGAGGCATGGTGTCCGCCTCGAGTGCAATAGGTTCCGGGTTCAATCCCCGGTAAGGGCTTGGATTTTTTTTTGTTGCAAGGGCTTGGACTTCTGATCTCTGGGTAGTGATATCAGACGTCCGTGTGCATTTTAGCATACGTAAAAAATCGAACAGAGTAGCCTAATGGCACTGCCCGGGCAAAATTTGGAGTTGAAAATCTACCCAAAGTATTTCAGGATCCTCGCCAGTGCTACAGAGCCTGTGCACTGTGCTGAAATTCTTCGGACTCAGGCTTGAGTTAGCAGAAGAATGGAGCACTTATGGGTTACTACCCGTGTACTATGATGTTAATCCGTTGTTCAAACCTCAACCCTTATTTGTCTCCTACGTCTCTCCTGCTCCTAGTCTAATAAAATCTGCAGATCTCACTTCTAGGAAAGATTTGCCTACATTTGTAATTGGTTCGAAGCTATTACACGCCTCATCACTAATTGCCTTTCACATTATATTTTCCGTATATGTGTTGAAAATATGTGACGGGGTGTCTAACCAATATATTTTCAACTCTTGACATTGCCCGGTTTTAATCTCTTCTACTTCTTCTTTGTCTCCACCGCTACCGTCTGTCTAGTCCACCGCTGCCATCTGTCTAGTCCACCGCTGTCGTCTGTCTAGTCCACCGCTGCCGTCTGTCTAGTCCACTGCTGCCGTCTGTCTAGTCCACCGCTGCCGTCTCGCTAGCGTAGTTGGCTAAACCGGATTGCGCGGTGACCGGATGACGAACTCCTTGTGGTCCGGGTTCACGCCCGGGGGTAGGCAGAAAAGCCACATTTCTCCCAGATTCACGGTATTTATCATGGAATCAAGGCCGAAGGGTTGCGATATTCATGATACCGAGCCTAAGGGTTAACAACTTATGGCTTCTAGATGCTAACAAGCAAACAACAAACAAGTGGTCTTACTGCTGCCTGTTTTACCGCTCCACCAGTTTTACCGACCAGGCCAGCGCTATCTAAATTGCAACAGCATCCTCCAGTGGATAGTAGCGCCCACGGTCGGAAAGACCAATAAGCTGTAGCGGCTCCTGCTTCAGTCAGAATTAATGGTAAAGGTAAAGTCGGAAAATGTAAACCAACGTCATTGCACACGGTTATAAACCATAAGTATCCCGTGTGGGTTCCGGGGCCCTACTATGGGAAAACAAGAATATACCCACTGCCTACCCAAAAGCATGTCGTAAGAGTCGACTAATTGAGAGCTTCCTTCGAAGTCGGAGTGCATCTGCCTGAGAGGCAAGGAACCAACAGTCTGCACACAAATGTTTCAGAACTGTCAAACGGATGCACACGCAAAACCCAGGTTTTGGAACAGGACTGCAGTCCAGAAATGGACGAACAACCAAAACTTTCCACTAGAGTTTACAGCTGGTGAACGTGAAGAAGAAGAAGAAGAAAGCCATAAGTGCTCTGCCACCAGTACGGACAGCTGACAAAAAACTGTCGGCCTGTTCACACGTAACTCTGTAGCTACAGCGACATTCCTCCATTTACCCCAGAGTGTCACTCGGGTACTCATTTCCTAGAGGCTGGGTGAACCCCGGGAACCATGCAGTTTCGAACACCGACCGTGGCTGCAGCGAGTCGCAGCTGGATTTAAAAGCGAGCCTCCTATCGGCTGCGCTAACGCTGCTCACAATTGTATGTTTGAGATTCGGGGTTTGAACAACAAATCAACATCATGGCACACGGCTAGTAACCCATAAGAGCACAGGCTCTGTAGCACCAGCGAGGATCCTGAAATACTTTGGGTAGATTTTTAACACTACATTTTTGCCCGGACAGCGCCGTAAGGCAACTCTTTTCGGTTTCCAACTGCCAAGGGATTTTTTACGTGCGCAACAACGCACACGGGCGTCCGATCTCACCACCCAGAGACCAGGGGGAATTACTAGAAGTCCAAGTCCACGTTAAAAAATCGCAGCCCTTACCGGGGATTGAACCCGGAACCTAAAGAACACGACCAGGACACCATACCTCGAGACCACGCAGTCCCCAACTAATTAATTGTAGTGACCCTGTTATTGCTTTTTGTTGCTGTAAATGTCAAATTTAAAGTGAAACTGAACACATACAATGAAAAAAAAAAAAAAAAAAATGAAAAACAGTTAATTAGGCTTCAACCCAGGAAATTCTACATGTTGGGAGGATGGGTTAACCACTATATTTAGAATTGATGTGTCTGTAACCTGACACTTTTTAAAAGTGAGTTGCGTTTCCTTTACAGGACGTTGCAGAACCAACCCCAACATCTGTTTTGAATTTTCTAGGCAAATTAGGGTCTAGTAGTTTGCCATTGCTTTCTGGACTGTCGTCTTCTCGATACGGACAGCTGATGACACAAAGTGCCACTATGCGGACGAGGATCACCGCGTTCAGCCATTGGGCCATATTTATGGCCAAGCTGTATTGCGGCCCCTGGCAAGAGCAAGAGTGGGGCTTCAAAATAAAGAAAAATTGCATCCCACAGGATAGCAATATTTGTCAGCATATATAATAACAAAGACTGACAAATACCGTGTGTTTAATTCTACGTCTTCTACTTTATCTTTGTCTCCAACGCTGCCGTCTGTTTAATCATTGCCCCCATGTGCACCTGAGAATCTTACCGCCCAGTAATGCCATCACCAGTATGTGAAAGTTTGGCAGAAGTGTGTTCTTTTCTGAGCACTGCCTAGGAAAACCCAGGTACTCGTTCTTATGTAGTCCCCAGCACAGGGGTGCCGACGCAAGTAAACCCTTTAAGGAGGTAAGCCAAAGTCTCTTGGTCAACTCAGGTCTCAGAGTCTACCTATGAACCTGTATGTGTCTGTCAGGTAAACAAAAACCCCGGAAGGTGCCCACAGACCCTAGCCTGCTGGTGGCAGCCCTGTTTCCAGTGCTTCAACCCGGGGGACACTACAAGCCGCAGTCCTGCATTCCTGTGGAACGAACCGCCATCCTCATCCCCTACAGGGATCGCTGGGAACATCTCTTCACACTGCTGCCCGTCATTATCCCCATGTTGATTCGTCAGAACCTGCACTTTACTATTTTTATTATTGAGCAGGTAAATATGTCTGTTATCATCACCAACGCCACTATTTTCGTCACTACATTTTCTGGTGCTTTAATAAAATCCTACCCCAAACAGGGAAAATACACATAATTGTTAGGGGGTGGTAGATAGGCTGCATTCTCTCGTGGGATGTAGGTGGGTTGGGGTTAGGGTCAGTTCTAGATGTTTTGGGGTCGTTAAAAGCACCAGGAACCCGGGAAACTCAGTCTTACCACCCTCAAGTATATTGGACTCTCCTGTTACGTCATACGGGGGTAGGATATTTTAAAAGAATCAATTTTCTATAATTACCATCACTGCCAACACCACCACTACAACCACATTTTCTACAACCAAGGTCAAATTCTCTAAAAACACTACCAGGACAATATCACCAACCCCATTACCGTCATCACTATCTCTAAAGCCACCATCACCACCAAGACTATCGCCATCACTGCCACTACTGTTCTACAACCACCATAACAATCTTCTCTGTAACTACCACCACTATTATCTCACTAACAACCACCACCACATTCTCTATAACCATCACCATAATTTCAACTGAGTTCAGTTGAGCTGGGTAAAGAAAGACATCACAGCACTGGGAGCATTCCCAGATGCTCTTCGTCCCCATCGTCAGCAGCTAGCGCAGTTCCAATACTAATGGTATCGGACGCAGTCTGATTGTATATCCATCTTGCCATTCCTCTAAGGTAGTGTGCCGACCATGCCCTCTGGTCACAACCAGGTGTATCTCCAGGCCATGATAATCTATTTTTCTTTCGGAGTTCATTACTTGTCGCCAAAGGGCCACATGTGCCTTCTCGTGTATCAACTCATTACCCAGTGGTGCAGATCCAGCCATTCTGTCTGCCTTGTTCAACCCATGTCCCCAATATGCAACGGTTACTATTCCCATTCAGTCACCATTAGACCCCACGGTGTATCTCAGCTGCACAGTAAATTGTATTATGGTATAAACATTGGGATATATGGAGATGTGTTTGATGCAATTGTAGATTCACCTAACGGGTTGATGATATTGAACCACTCATTTTAAAAAAAAATGGTTTTAATCATTCCGAATCTGACCACCCCAAAAGGTTGATAATTGTTATTGGCTGAATAAATTGTAATCCATCTCGGTGCCAGTACTCGTCTTCCTCTCGGAGCCCATGTTCAACACACTTTTTCTAGAAACATATGTCTAATATTGAAAATGAATTTATGAAATGTCAATACTGCATTGTGATGTCAATGTTAATTTCAGTTTCAGAGAGTGATATGTTGACTTGTCTCTAACATTTTTAAGATCTCTCGTCAAATGACATCTACATCGAAGTCGTCAACTTTCCTTTTCCTTCCTTGCTTGACATGAGTGTACTCTGTATTCTGAATTAATAAAGTAACAGAAAGTGTATTGATCGGCACACTAGAAAGAAGTAGAAAGATAAAAGAACACACTAGACAACATAAAAATCGAAAGCTATAGTTACCGTGCAGGAATTTAACCTGTCACCTCCAGACGGTGTGTGCGCCTCGCCATGGATAAAAGTGCACTCAGAACATGGTCAACTAGGCACCCTGGAAAAAAGCTGTATCCTGTCTAATCCACCGGTTAAACGATGCTCTATCCAAACCAAGCGCCAATCGTGTTCGGTTCTCTGGGTCATAAAAAGCACAATATAAATGACTTAACTTAGATTCACCGAGGAAGTGATGGTAGAGTAAACCGGTAACCTTCTGCACAGTAATAAATGTGCATCTCAAATTCATTTTATAAATGATTTCGATGTCCGCTTTTATAAGCTAGCTATATGAAACAATAACTCAACACTAATTTGTGAAAGCGCCTTTCACTAAACGAACTTGACCGACCTCTTATTTTGGAGCGAGGTCAGCAAGAGTGCGACTTTGCACAAGAAAAATCATACAGTTACGTAGGTTTTCTTGACCCCCTGTTAAACCAGTCATATTGTGCATTACTTCCTGAGACTAATGAAAGTAAACCTTCCAAAAGTAAACCAAGACGGTTTCATGATAAAATATATATCGTAAAGAAGAAAAGTAACCACATATTATATTCTTCTTTAGTGAAAAACAATTTCCCAAACGTCATGCAGTTTTCGAGAGAATGGCTTGTGAACAGAAAGCTCACGACTAAAACAAAAACTCTTTTCTATCGGGTTTATATTCTCAGTACTCTGCTTTATGACTGTAAAACTTAGTCAACATTTTCGTACCAGGAGAAACGACAATAGCTTTCGATTCCGATGTCTTAAAAGAATACTTGACATTATACAAGTGCTAAGATATTGGAAAGAGCAGATATTAGAACAGTTTTCTCAATGCTCAGTCTACGAAGGCTCAGGTGGTTGGGTCACACCTGGGGAATGGAAGATGGCAGAGTCCCTAAGGACATCTTCTGTGGTGAATTAATGATCGGTAGAAGATGTCGAAGCCGACCTACGATATAAAGATGTGTGCGAGCGGGACATAAATGATGCAGACATTGAGGTGGACTCGTGGGAGCAAAATGTCATAGACCGTATTGTGCGGAGGGGGCACACCTGAAGGGAATTAGAATAAAGAAATGATTTCAGAAAGGGCGAGAGCTGAGCGTGTTAAAAAAAAAAAAACACTAAAGACAAATGCTGACAACTTCTGCTAAAGTCCAATGCTATAATTGTGGAAAACGTTTCTTAACATGGGCTGTTCTTGCTAGTCACATTCGTCATCATCACTGGCTGTAAGTCCCATGCCTCTTCATAGCGCAATATAACACTATCGTCTGAAAAGATAGAAAGGTGCCAATCAATAGCATTTTGAAACGTCACTTTTCAATTGCACAATGCAAAATACTGGGCGAATTTCATCACCCAATTATACACGCCAAAAGAGTGAAGCTTTGTTAACCAAAAATTATGCAACCATTAATAAAGAAAATATAATATTTAATATGTCTCTTTCGTATTAGCTCTCGCTCATACACAGTCGATACGAGTTGTGGTCTAATAGTCAGATTCACAGGTTAGACGAGGCAGACTTCTCTTCCAACAAACTACCACACGACTCCAAATGACAGTCGACGATGGATACCGTCAGTTCCAGGTTTATTCAGTACCCTTCAATAGCAAATAAGTGGCAAGAGTCAACATTTCAACCTCACTTACGCCATGCAGGCAGTTTTCAATTGCTCACACTTTGGGTATACAGCTACCTACACACGGTTGGCACAATCAACAGTCAATAGGACACTTCCATAGTCCTCAGCTATACTTCAACGTGGGCTGCTACAGCCACTTCACAGCTTGCCCACCTAGCCATTCAGGATCAACATTCACTTCGTTTCACTCTGGATCCATTTTCACTACGATCTTTCTGGAGTCCTGTCACAGAATGACTTCACAGTCAGCAATTCCCACAGACTTCGTGTTCTCAGGTGAGGTCGACAATCTCGTGTTTTGCCATTCTCAAGTCAGTTTCATATCTCTCACTCTAGGGACTTCCCCAGTTCTGTCAATCAGTCAAACCCCTTACGTTATAAAGCCCTTGACAGGGCTTTGTAGTACTGTTGATTCTTTACTTGTGCAGTAAATGTCAAAGCAAGCAATGCCACAACATTTGGCAACTTGTTTTAAAATAAAAGCTCATTTGTTGCTGCTTTATGACTTTCCAGTTTAAAAAAAAAAAAGGTGGGTGGGGGGGGGGGGGGGGGGGGGGGGGGGGGGGGGGGGGGGGGGGGCCGATGGGGCCGATGAATGTCGTCAATTTTGTGTGTGTCCAATTTAATTGATCTCATGTTTTATTTCATTGGCTACCAAGTGTACCGATGATCTTATGTTCTTTTTCACTATCTATCACTCGCATGATTGATTTTATGTTCTGGTTAATTGTCTACCAAGTGTGTAATTGATCTCATTTTTATGTTTAATTATCTACAAAGTTGATTATTCATCTCATAGTCTCTTTCATTGTGTACATAGTGCGTCATTATGCTTATATTCTATTTCATTGTCATTGAAAGTGTGTAATTTATCTCATGTTATTTTTCATTATCTACCAAGTGTCTGATTGACTTTGTGTTCTCTTTCATTGTCTACCAAGTGTGTAATTTATTTCATGTTCTATTTTGTTGTCTAAAAATGAATCATTGATGACATGTTCTCTTTCACTGACTATCAAGTGAGTCTTCTCTTTCATTGCTCCTTTCTAAGTTTTAATGAATAAAATTTTTCTCACTGTTTCTCTCTCTCTCTCTCTCTTATGTCTCTGTAATGTTATGTCCCGATTCATTCCTCTTTCTCTCTATGTTCTCAATTCGACAGCAATGACAGTTCTCATGGCATCAATGACAGTTATCATTGCAGCGCTAGTAACAATACATTGTGATACTGCATCTCTTAAGACAGTGAGAGCGACAACACTTTGTTACACAGTACACTAACATCTAAACTTTATTTTCTGGCAACAAGGACCTGCCATCCAAATTCAACAAGGGCTTGTTAATTAACGTGGGCTTTCTGGAGGCCTTGAAGATGGACAACTACACGTGCTTCATCCTGCACGATGTGGACATGCTTCCCGCGGATGACCGGAACATGTACAGGTGTCGGGAGGACAGCCCCATCCACCTGGTTGCTTCTCTGGATAAGTTCGATTACAAGTAGGTGATTTCTTATCTATCTGTTTCATAAACTTCACTACAAGTATGTGATTTCTTATCTGTTTAATAAACCTCACTACAAGCATGTGATTTTTATCTGTCTGATAAACCTCACTACGAGTATGTGATATCTTATCTACCTGTTTGATAAATTTCAAGACGTATGGGATTTCTTATCTGATTGATAAACTTCACTACAAGTTTATGATTTTTTATCTATCTTGATAAACTTCACTACAAGTATGTGATTTTTTTTTTCTGTTCGATAAACTTCACTACAAGTATGTGATTTCTTATCTATCTGTTTATTAGACTTCACTACAAGTATATGACTTCTTATCTATCTGTGTGAAAAACGTAACTACAAGTATGTGATTTCTTACCCGTTTGAAAAACTCCACTACAGCTTTGTAATTTTTTTTCTATCTGTTTAATAAACTTCACTATAAGTATGGGATTTCTTATTTATTTGATAAACTTCACTACAAGTTAATGATTTCTTATCTATCTGTTTGATAAAGTTCACCACAATATGTGATTTCTACCTGTTTGATAAACTCCACTACAACTTTGTGATTTCTTATCTATCTGTTTAATAAACTTCACTATAAGTATGTGATTTTTTTTATCTGTTCGATAAACTTCACTACAAGTTTGTGATTTTGTATCTATCTGTTTGATAAATTTCATTACAAGTATGTAATTTCTTATATGTGATTTCATATCTATTTGCTACATCTGATTACAAGTAATTGATTCCTTGACTTCCATATGGGTAAATATTGGACATTACAGCATTCAGGACAAGCTTATATTAGCTCCGTCTGCCTCTTCTTCAACAGACAGGAAAGAATGTCCATACTGATGGTACCCATTGTCACCAGGTCATTCTTCTAAGTCTTCATTAGCATCCAGATCCCACAGCCACTTCTCGCTGCATCACCGCCCCCCCCCCCAACTACGTGTTTTCAGTGTCTTCCATTTTACCTGTTATCTTCTTTGTCCCACAGGCTGGAGATCACATCTGCCTTATGCAATTGCAGTATACCACCAAATGGGACCAGTCAAGCTAGCCTGTTGCCTTTTTATTTCCAAACATACCTGAATCTTCTTCTTTTGTCAAAATCTGCTTGTGCCGCTAGGCGTCCCAGTCTATCAGATGATCGGCAACCGAGCCAGGGCGCGCTCAGTCGCTTCATATGCCGTGATGTTATGAAGTCTCAAGTTGTCCGTGACTCCTTCAATCCATATTCTTCTTGGTCTTCCCCTGCCTCTTGGTGTTTCGATTTTCATGTTGTATGCTCTTGATGCTGGCATCGTTGGTTCCATTCTCATTAGGTGACCAAACCATTTCATTCTTTGCTTCTCAATAAATTTAACGATGGGTATGGTTCCAATAGTTCTTGTAATCACATCGTTTCTCACTCGATCTCCCTTGGTTTTATTCGCAGCCATTCTCAAACATCTCATTTCACAGGTGGTTAGTCTAAACATACCTGAATGACCGGGGCAAAATATCCATTTGACTCTCACTTCCTGTGACCTCTGGATTGATGTAACCGATTCCATATGAAGAAAACCTTACTTCAAGTTCCTGGGCATGAATTGTAAATCCAACATTATGACAATATGTGTGGCTGAGATTGTTTCCACCCATCGTAACGCCGCAGTTACCGTCTTAACCTTCATTCTCATGCTTAATGTGTTTATGTAATACGCCAAGCTCTCCTTTGTCAATCTTCTCCCCCAAGATTTTACAACGAAGCCCATCCATTTTCTTCTACCCTTGGTCACTGTGCCATCTCTGACTTTAAATTGGATAAGCCTGACTGCAAGGTTGCGCTTGTTCTCTTTTTTAGAAAAACTTGATTACTAGAGCCTAATTTAAAAAAAAAGGTCCTTATTCTAAGGCGTTTTGGGAATATAGGGCTAGACCTATATTTTTATGGACCAATCAGCACGTGGTGGGTAATGTGGTCAGCATCACACCGGCCGCCTTTACTTTCTAGGACTGTACCTGGTACCCACTCAAGGTTGGGTCGACCTAGAGGTGGGGGGGGGGGTTCTTCGTGGTGAAGTGGTCAAGCTGTTTGCCTCGCGCGCTGAAGGTCGTGGGTTTATTTCAGGGCGGCTCAGTTCAATTCACGGGTGCATTTTTTAACGAAGATCTCTAAGGATGTCACCGGAACTACAGAAGTCGTACTCTGTCCGACGCTCTCGGCAGTGAATTAGCTGTTCTGCGGAGAGAGACTGAGCCATATTCAATAAAACCAGGTGCAATGAAGTAATTCCCCTCCCCTTTACCTTTACTTTTCCTTCTATTAGATAAGGTTCTATCGCTTCAAGTATGTGATACTTTGTAAATTAAATTGCACGAGTCTTATTACAAGTATTTGAGTACTGATCTGAAGGATAAGTTTAATTACATTTATGTGAAGATTTCCATTTCTTCTTATACGGTCAACTAATTAGGGGTGCTTCTTTCGAAGTCGGAGTGCATCAGCCTGAGAGGCAAAGAACCAACAGTCTGCACACAAATAAGTCAGAATTGTAAAAATGATGCATATGCAAAACTTAGGTCCTGGTACAAGGCCATAGTCCAGAAATGGACGAACAACCGGAATTTTCCGCCGGGGTTTTCAGTCAGTGAAAGCAAAAAAAAAAAAAAAAAATCTCTTCAGATATGTAAAACCTTTACTTATCTGTTTAATAACTTGTATTATATGTAAGGATGTATCGTCCAATGATATGTGTAGCTACATATACGAAGTTTGAAGTTTGAACAACGGATTAACATCATGGCACACGGAAGTTTAAACAACGAATCAACATCATGGCACACGGGTAGTAACCAGTAAGTGCTCCGTTCTTCTTCTAACTCAAGTCTGAGTCCGAAACAACTCAGCAGAGTGCACAGGCTCTGAAGCACCGGCGAGAAGTTGGGTAGAGTTTTAACTCCAAATTTTGCCCGTGCAGCGCCATTAGGCTACTCTTTTTTTATTTCCAACTGCCAAGGAATTTTTTTACGTGCGGAACAAGGCACACGGACGTCCGATCTCACTACCTAGAGACGAGGGGGAATTACTAGAAGCCCCTCCCCCATCCCCACCCCAGATACATATATATATGGTTAAGTAGCTAATTTGTTACATCTTTCACCTTCGACTCATACAGACTTGACGGATTCGTGGCTGTGACAGTTCCTTACAGATGCTAAAAATTAGGGTTTACCCACCCCTAAATCTGAGATAGCCTATCGGAGTAAGCAGGGATAAAGGTGACATCATCAACCTTGTCGGGGGAAGCAGAGGTAGAGGTGACATCATCAACCTTGTCGGGGGAAGCAGGGGTAGAGGTGACATCATTAACCTTGTCAGAAGAAGCAGGGATAGAGGTGACATCATCAACCTTGTCGGGGGAAGCAGAGGTAGAGGTGGCATCATCAACCTTGTCGGGGGAAGCAGAGGTAGAGTTGACATCATCAACCTTGTCGGGGGAAGCAGAGGTAGAGGTGACAGCATCAACCTTGTCGGGGGAAGCAGGGGTAGAGGTGACATCATTAACCTTGTCGGGGGAGTCAGGGGTAGAGGTGACATCATCAACCTTGTCGGGGGAAGCAGAGGTAGAGGTGACATCATCAACCTTGTCGGGGGAAGCAGAGGTAGAGGTGACATCATCAACCTTGTCGGGGGAAGCAGGGGTAGAGGTGACATCATCAACCTTGTCGGAGGAAGCAGGGATAGAGGTGACATCATCAACCTTGTCGAGGGAAGCAGAGGTAGAGGTGACATCATCAACCTTGTCGGAGGAAGCAGAGGTAGAGGTGACATCATCAATCTTGTCGGGGGAAGCAGAGGTAGAGGTGACATCATCAACCTTGTCGGGGAAAGGAGGGGTAGAGGTGACATCATCAACCTTGTCGGGGGAAGCAGAGCTAGAGGTGATATCATCAACCTTGACGGGGAAAGCAGGGGTAGAGGTGACATCATCAACCTTGTCGGAGGAAGCAGATGTAGAGGTGATATCATCAACCTTGTCGGGGGAAGCAGAGGTAGAGGTGACATCATCAACCTTGACGGGGAAAGGAGGGGTAGAGGTGACATCATCAACCTTGTCGGGGGAAGCAGAGCTAGAGGTGATATCATCAACCTTGACGGGGAAAGCAGGGGTAGAGGTGACATCATCAACCTTGTCGGAGGAAGCAGATGTAGAGGTGATATCATCAACCTTGTCGCAGGAAGCAAAGGTAGAGGTGACATCATCAACCTTGTCGGGGGAAGCAGAGGTAGAGGTGACATCATCAACCTTGTCGGGGAAAGTAGAGGTATAGGTGATATCATCAACCTTGACAGTGTAAGCAGAGGTAGAGGTGACATCATCAACCTTGTCGGGGGAAGCAGAGGTAGAGGTGACATCATCAGCCTTGTCGGGGAAAGTAGATGTATAGGTGATATCATCAACCTTGACAGGGTAAGCAGAGGTAGAGGTGACATCATCAACCTTGTTGGGGGAAGCAGAGGTAGAGGTGACATCATCAACCTTGACGGGGAAAGCAGGGGTAGAGGTGTCATCATCAACCTTGTCGGGGGAAGCAGAGGTAGAGGTGACATCATTAACCTTAACGGTGGGAAGCAGAGGTAGAGGTGACATCATCAACCTTGTCGGGGGAAGCAGAGGTAGAGGTGACATCCTCAACCTTGTCGGGGGAAGCAGGGGTAGAGGTGACATCATCAACATTGTCGGAGGAAGCAGAGGTAGAGGTGACATCATCAACCTTAACGGTGGGAAGCAGAGGTAGAGGTGACATCATCAACCTTGTCGGGGGAAGCAAAGGTAGAGGTGACATCCTCAACCTTGTCGAGGGAAGCAGGGGTAGAGGTGACATCATCAACATTGTCGGAGGAAGCAGAGGTAGAGGTGACATCATCAGCCTTGTCGGGGGAAGCAGAGGTAGAGGTGACATCATCAACCTTGTCGGGGGAAGCAGGGGTAGAGGTGACATCATCAACCTTGTCGGGGGAAGCAGAGGTAGAGGGGACATCATCAACCTTGTTGGGGAAGCAGAGGTAGAGGTGACATCATCAACCTTGTCGGGGGAAGCAGAGGTAGAGGTGACATCATCAGCCTTGTCGGGAGAAGCAGAGGTAGAGGTGACATCATCAACCTTGTACGGACTAGAATAGTGGACAGTGATGGATCCCTGACACTGACATTGTTGTTTGATCTGGAAGTAATGGTTGGTAAAACACGTCCATGCCGAGGTGGAGGCCGCTATAGGGGACATTGTAACCATCTCAACATATGAACAGCCAGTATAGATACCTTGAAGTTGCTGCTGTTTTGGTGGATTGAGAATGAGCACGCTAGTTCTGGACATTTAGGAATATATGACTGGATGAATTAATGAAATAATGAATGAACGAAGATTTAACATCAGTGCACTCAGGACAATCCCACAGGTGCTCCATTTCCTTCTCAGTAGCCAAAGAAGAGTCAATATGCTAATAGTACCTGTTACAGCGTGATATAAACGTCTGCGTATGTTTTCCTCTTTGTTTTGAATTTCTTCTAGATCCTCTATTCATCCCCTATTAAATTAGTCTTTCAATGCATGGATTTTCTTTCTCTCTCTGCCTCTTTCTGTCTCTCATTCTCTCTGTTCTCCTGCACTGGTCGTTTGATCCCAGAGTCATGTTTCTCAGGCAAAGTATTGGAGGAATGGCTGAGACTTAGCCTAGGTTGGTCATGTTTCTCCCAAGTAGCAGACAGGATGAGATTTGGCCTTGATAGTTATTGTTTCTCCCACTGTACACAGCACAGACTGACAAGCGGCCTAAGTTGGTAATGTTCTCTCTCCAGATTTTAGGCATGACACTGTGAGCAGACTGCAGGCTAATGTCCAAATGGATAAAGCTGATTAATTGGCAAGAGTTCACGTGTTTTGACCTCATTCTCCAGGCTCCTATATGCTGGTCTGTTTGGTGGCGTGGTCGGCTTCACACGGCGACAGTTCGAGCTCATCAATGGAGCCTCCAACATGTACTTTGGTTGGGGAGCTGAAGACGACGACATGAGAGACAGGTAATAATCATATTAGCAATAATATTACAGGTAGTTGTAGCAGCTGCATCAGCAGCAGCAGCAGTAGTAGTCATAATAATAATGGCGCGCTTGCGTTTTTAGTGGATTACATACACTGGCAGTGGGAATCTGATAAAATCCAGATAAAGGCAACAATAAAGTCTCTTAGGAACAAATCCTATCCCAGAAGACAAACTTAACTCACTATATGAAAAGAACTTACTATATGCTGATTTTTTTTGGGGGGGGGGGGGGGTATAATCATGAATGATTGGCGAGTTATTTTTTTTCGGGTGGTGGGGCGGGGGGAGGGTGGGGGTGGAGCTGGGGTTGTAAGCGAGGGGTGGGGAAGAGGCTGGAGGGGGGGGGGGGGGTTTATTGATTATTTTCTCATTAGCATTGCGGTGGGGGGGGGGGGGGGGGGCGGGCGCGGCTAGGTATTGATGGATTGTGAACAGGATTCAACAGACCCCACATCTATATGCACGAACAATTCAAGGTTGGAGAATGAGAACTCTGCCCATGTGGACAGGCAGCACAAAACATTGTGAACATGTGCTGCATGCATGCTTTTTAGCCCATTAGAGAAATGCTAGGTCTGACGTTGGTTTCTGGTGGAAAGTTCTGGTTGTTCGTCCACTTCTGAGACTTAGTCTTTTCCTAGAACTTGAGTTTTGCACGCTCTTCAGTTTTACAAATCTAGCTGATTTGTAAGCAGACTCTTGTTTCCTCGTATTTCAGGCGGATGCACTCCGATTTCGAGGGAGACACCCATAAATATTCGACCCTTACGACATGCTTGAAAGAAGGGCAATGCTTCTATTCTTAGTTGGATCGGTATAGGGCATAATTCGCGCCATAACCTTTTTCTGAACAAAAGCCACTGGTAGGAAGATAGAAATGAACAAGCAGGCTCTGGAAAATAGAGTATTTAGGGCAGTACATTTTAGGCGTTGCGAATGTAGGCGGATCGGAAAATCGTGGGTTCAGGTCTTGATAGAACCCGTTTATTTTTCTTTAAACTTGACCTTGGCTCCCAGGCGGATTCAGCCTCAAAAGGGCACCAGGTAAAGTCCTGGGAAGTAAAGGGATCTACATCACGCGGCCCCCACCGATGTATATGGTGTATGTTTAATGACTGTAGACTTTTTGTTAAACAATTATTTTCGCACCGCTATAAAATCTGTGCATTACGTCACGTTTCAAACGCCCTGTAACTGTTAGTTTAGAATATCACTGCTTTATACTGGTATTTTAGTAATTGTTCTTAGATATAGTGGTGTTAACTGTATGAAAATAAATGGGATGAATTTAAAGGAAGTGAAAAAAATTAGAGAAATGTCTGGACAAAGACTAGTATCAAAAGTAAAAAGACAGTGAAGATGGCGCTCTCTCGAACACATCGCAAGAAGAAAACAGCAGAGAATCACAAAACAAGCATTAAAATTGGAAATTAATAGATTAAGAAAGCGAGGACGCCCTAAAAAAAAAAAAGCCTATGACGAACGTTGATGACACAGAGCCTGAAAAAGATAACATATAGATCTAAAACAAGTACTTGAAACAGACAGCTCATCTTTATATGACACAAACTGAAACAGAAACACAACTGTTTATAACACAACTTGAAAAAGATGACACACATCTGTTTATGATACAAACTGAAACAGATGACACATCTGTCTGTGACACAAAGTGAAACAGACGACACATCTGTCTGTGACACAAACACATAACACATCAATCAATTATGCAGCAGGTACACACAGATAATATTTAACTTTTTTTTTTCATCATCGATGTTGTCATCTGCTCTCTCATTGGTCCAGAGCTTTAAACCGAAATTTGACCCTGGTGAGGAGTCCGCCAGAAACAGCCATCTACGACATGATTGACCACGGGGTGGAGGGAGCTGGTTGGAAGGAAAATAGATACAGGTACATCTGGTCTCTTTGCTTAGCAGTCTGACTAGACAGTTCTCTCTCTCTCTTTCTCTTCTCTTCTCTTCTCTTCTCTTCTCTTCTCTTCTCTTCTCTTCTCTTCTCTTCTCTTCTCTTCTCTCTCTCTCTCTCTCTCTCTCTCTCTCTCTCTCTCTCTCTCTCTCTCTCTCTTGTGTCGTCTATATTACACGTCTTTACCACCACAGGACTGCATCCTGTAGTCGACCGGTGTGGTCGTTACAGGTGACCTAATTATAACTTTCTTAAAGGTTGAACACGATATCTAGGCTTACCAGGTTGATCTACCACCCAGCACTGTGACTTTCTTGCAGTCTTACGGTATCAAACCTCAAGGTCTGGCTTGTCTACAATCCAGCACTGGAACTTTATTTTAATCTTACGATATCAAACCTTCAGGTCAGGTATGTCTGCCACCAGCACTTGGACTTTCTTTCAGTCTTACGGGATCAAACTTTTAGGTCAGGCTTGTCTGCCATCAGCATTGGGAATTTATGTTAGTCTTATGGTTGTCATATGACGCGCCTGTCGCCTGTCTTTGTTAGGGTTTCCCTAGTAATCAAAGACACTCTGAAGTGACTTAATGTTAGATGGTGGCTCGCATTGGTCTAGAAAGTACTTTGTAGCTCCAACGACCATCCAACATCACTTCAGGGGTGAGGCGACTCACACTATGATTCCCACTGCAATAATAAATATACCTGGCCACAACTTGGCTTAACTTCCTCACCACTTAGAAGCCACCAGATTAGATAGCACACCTGTCATAGTCAAGATATAACACTGTATGGAATCTGGCCAAACAACACCACATTAACAAACAGTCTAACCTAAAAGAACTGGAAAAATATTGGACATTGGCAAATCTTAATCCAGAATAATAATACCTCTTGTAATAAGTACAACGAAGGCAAAGACTGGAAAGTAAAGGAAAGCATAGGACAAATCAGGGAAACTGCTGAATTCAGAACTGAATTTTTCCAGTAAAACTCCTTTGTTGTCTACAACACTTCACAGTTCATCACTGCAAAACCTTGTTGTCACGAGAATAAAGGTGGGCACTAGTGTCTTGGGTGGCGGCAATTCCAGCGTAGCCCCAGTTACTTAGCTGAGATTGACTCGATCCTCTCCCCAGTTCATAGGCCGAGCCTCACAAAAAGCAGTGCTGGACAATTAGCTAGGTATCAGTTCTGGAGTTGGAATTCTCAATTACCATGCACTATCAAATAAATGTGCGCAGAACACTTAATGTTTAAGTTCAACAAAGGGGACAGGTTACCTGGATCAGTTATTACAGTTAACTATTATTATAATATATTGCAACACTCTGGCTGGGTTTAGCAGAAGAGCAGATCACGGATTAAGCATAACTACACATAGTGATGAGGAAATTGCACAAACAGTCCCATGTCAAGTGTGACACCACTTGTCACCTCCTGTTGCTACACTACAATGACTCGTTTCAGACAGTCTTCAGTACTGCTGTACTGTTTCTAGGTAGGTGTTGTTGGGTACTGAAAAAAGATGAAATTGCCAGACAATGGTAGATTATGCGTTGTGATTCTGGAACTCCTCCAAAGTGTAAACAAACACATGTAAACAAAGGGATTCAAGAATTAGCTAACCACTTGACACTGTAGCATGTTCACTCTCTCTTCACAATACAACATCAGTAAAATAATCAGATGATTGTGTTGAGCTAGTAAACACCCAACAGGGCTGTATACATTTCCCAGTTCTCTTAGTAGCAAGAATTGATAGTGATCTATTTCGCCGAATAAATCTGCACTCGTGACAGAGCTAGACTGCCTATCCAGCCATAAGAGTGCGAACAATCAACATTTTCCTTCAGAGGGTACCTATACTCACACAGGCATACCAAAGATACATGAATATGTAAGTAGGAAGGGCGTTACAGCATCATAAACACGACACAAAACTTCCTCTACTGACACCAGCCATTCTGTGTTTACAGAGACCCGGGCGGAAGTTACGTCATACTCGGTAACTTTAAACGCTGTGCCATGACTATCATTGAACTGAAATCTGGGTCAGCTCGGTCGAACATCAGTTTCTCTTACATTTAAATGTATTTACATGCATAGAACATGATCAATTCATATTTATAAAAACAAAAGGATAAATGAACTCCAATCTGTCTGGATTATTCATTGCGGAAATATAAGAAGATGACCTTAATTGGCCTGTAAGTGAACACTCTGGATCTACGCGTTTCTGCAGTTTAAATCATCTGACGGCTATGTGCAGTTGCATCACATAGTTACACTCGTCTTATACAACAGGGCAGAGTCTTACAATTATAATAATCTACAATGTACTTACCCATGCTCATTGGAAGTTCCCGGATGAACTAGAAACTTTACAAAAAGGTGCTGATAAACTTTCAAGACAAAGGAAAACCCCGACTGTAAGCTCTGCAGATTGAGCCACGAATAAAATTTGAAGTAGGAGCAGGGTTGCCAGATAAAAAAAAAAATTAATTCTATGCCAAACCATTACCCAAAATATGCCAGAAAAATTCCAAATAAAGTGTAACATTGTACTCCCTTCAAATCAAAAGCGCTAGATTGAATTCTTTACTGACTTCCTCACTGGAACAAGTAGAAGACACAACCTAAACCTTTTTTGAATGTAAAATCTTTAAGCATTTCCTCAGATGGGATGAAGTCTTTGCAACTCATCTATAATGATGGCATATTTCTTGTTCCGAAAATCATCAATAAGATCATCCTTAAGTGCAGGCGATATAGGATTTTTTGTTGCAATTAGGCATGAACATTTAGTTCTCTGCAACTGTATGAGCTTCAATGTACCGCCTCAACCATGCGCTCTCATGATTTCACTTAGATGATCATTTGTGCGTATTGCACAATGGCAGGTCATGTCTACAGCAAGCTGCAACTCTGCTGCCTCTAACTTGATCATTACTTTGCCTAGGAGTCATTGTTGTAATAAGCTGTGACTGGGTTTTTAACGGAGTTTTCATCCTGTTTTTCGGATTTTTCATGATTTGATAAGCTA